GAGAGAGAGAGAGAGAGAGAGAGAGAGAGAGAGAGAGAGAGAGAGAGAGAGAGAGAGAGAGAGAGAGAGACGGAGCCATGTCCATGTGGCAGAGGACAGAGTTTACCCCCAGATCGATATGCACCTTGGGCCAGAAAGTGGGGAGAAACGGTGAGCATACACGTACAAACAAGGTGGATTCCTAACAATGGAGAGACTGAATGGGAGTTTAATATTTCTCTGTTGAGAAGCAATCAATGCCTCTCACCCCAACCCTAAGAGAAAAGAAATACAGTTGTGGTGAGCTGCATCTTTCAGCTCTTATTGTATTTTTATGGGACGCTGGACCTGGTTTCCAGCAGATGCTGCTTCCCACCAACAGAACGGACCTTTCAAAAGACAAAGGAAAATCGATCAAAAGCTTCAAAACAGCTCCAAAGGCGTTCGTTTACGAACCTTTTCTTGCATTGGGTTTCCAAACACCCACCGTCCGACATGAGGGTCCAGAATTTCACAAACTGCAAAAGGGTCCACATCACTGGTCACTTCGCCACAACCACCTCCAACAGCGTATATTTTCCCTGACAAAACTGCTCCGCCAAGGCTGCCCCGCTTCTGGTTGAGAGCACAGACGGGAATCCACTTGTCATTGTGAGGATTATACATCTCCACTGCACATGAAACAAAGCAACAGAAAAAAGAATAAGCTACTGGAAGTCTTCACCAAGTCTGCTCACACAGCCTCCCACATAAAGAGAACGCAAACTGGGCACACCCAGTACCCACAGTTTATTAGACTCCATAAGCTCAGGATCTAAACTGCAGTGGTCATAAACCTGTGCCTAGCCAAGAGGCGAGGTGTGCTGTAACTTCGTATCCAGTTGCAATCATTAGGAGTCAGATCTGTTCTCTCCATTACTAAGGATGGCTACTTCTTCGCCTCTGGTCATAGCCATAAAACTGACTGTTAACTTTCCCAGGCCTGCTGGAGTTTCAGCCTGGGTCCACAGTTTTGAGTCATCTCATGAGATAGTGACAATAGATTTTGCATAACCTTCACATTCTTAGAACATAACATTTTAGTATTCTCACAATCCAGCTACATGGTAACACTTTGTCATAGGTATATGTAGACTACCACATTGTTCGATCGATAGAATGCATGTTTTCGGAAGGCTGAGACTCCACGCTTCACCCATAGCGTGAGGTTCAAACCAGTGTGTCCATCTGCATGGGCATACCTGAGGAGCACAACTTCAACCTTCAGCAATCTTCCCCAAGAAGGTCAACCCCAAAGAATCAAACTTTTGTGGGTGGACAAATTGAACACAGCACCAATAGGATTCCTCAAATCCATTTTTTTTCCGCATTAAAACAGAAGCTGGAATACCAGGCCAGACGCCCATGCTCCCTATGTGTTGCATACCGTATAGGTGCAGACCAGAACAAGAACCGACCTTTCAATACAAAGTATAAGATAGCACAGCGGAAGACTTAGA